TTCCCCCCCCCCCCCCCCCCGACTTCTGTGTATTGTAGAAGCATCTGTTTGGATACTGTTTTGGTTAACCAAAATATGAAAGTCATTCCAGTTGCCTAGCTAAAGCAAGTAGGGCACCTGTATTGAGCTGGAACAACATAAGAAGCTGGAGGCTGATGATCACTTTTGTGGTAACACCAAAGGCATTATTTTATCAAGAAAGCCACATATATATAAAGTGAATGACAATATAGTGCTGAATGATGGGCCCCTCAGGTCAGGAGGCACTCAACATGTTCCTGAGAAGAGCTGAGGATCTTCTGGAGTACAGGTAGTCCCCAGTTTAAGAACGAGTTCCATTCCCAAGGTCTGTCCTTAAGTTGAATTTGTATGTAAGTCGGAACAGTATTATTGTATAATTCTGTATAAATAGTATTGTGTAATTAACTTGAACCATTGTGCATTTAACTCACATTTTTGTGTATTTAACTCAAATTTTGCTACAAGAAGCTCCGTTCTTAACTATGGATCATCCTTCAACCGGGCGGGGCGTTCTTAACCCGGGGACTCCTGTACTGATAGTGCTTATGATATGGCTAGATTAAAGTCTTCAGGCTGTCTAATTGCTGATGCTCCCACACAGGAAAAGAAAATCGGAACCTGCCAAGATAGAATTATCCTAAAGGAATTTAGAGCTGATTTTAGGGATAGGGAAGGAATGAACAAGTTGTTAAGGAGGGACTTGCACAAAGTTTACATGGTCCTGAGAAAAGGGAAGCATGAGAAAGAAACTCAGGATAACTCCAGCTACATTTTGTTCAATTTAAGATGGGTCACAGAGGAACTTGGACAGGCTTTCAAGATTCTGTTGTTCTATTCTACTACTACTACTACTACAATAATAATAAAAAAAACATTGCTCAAATCTCTACCGTGCCTCTTTCTTGACCTGGCCTACCTCAAAGAGCTGAAAATTACAGGGAAATGTGATATGAATCCATGTCACATAGACAGATTAGGCATCAGTGAATTGAAATGGAGTAGAATCAGATGCTCTCAGTCAGAAGATCACATTGTTTGCTACTCAGGACAAAGAAGGAAATGTTATTTTCATGGTCAGGAAGAATATAGCAAACACACTATTTGGATACTATGCAGTCAGTGACCAAATAATATCAAATAGACTTTGCAGACAACCCTTTAATAGGATGGCTATCCAAGTTTATGCTCCAACCATTAATGCAGAAGAAGAGAAAGTTGACGGCGTTAAGGTCCAATTCAATCTGAAATTGACAAAACATGCAAGCAAGATATACTGCTTGTGGTGGAGACTGGAATGCCAAAATTGGAAATAGTTAGGAGGAAACATAATTGGACAGTATGGGTTAGGAAGAAAAAAATCAAGAAAAATAAAGCAGGAAAGTGACTTAATTTCTGCCAATCCGATGCTGTTTTCATTGCTAACCCTGTTTTCAAACAATATGACCCCTATATAATGGACAATATCAAATCAAATTGACTATATTATTGATACAAGGAGGTAGAATAACTCAATTATAGCAGCAAAGATGTGGCCAGGAGCTGACTGTGGAACAGATCATAGATTGCTCATGTGCAAATTTCAAGTCAAGCTAAAGTGGGAGAATAAGGCCATGATATGATCTTGAGCATATACCCACTATTTTCAAGGAACCACTTGAAGCCCTGAACTTCACTGATAATGAACCAGAGGAACTGTGGAATGAAGTCAAAAAAGTTGTTAAAGATGAACATAAGAGACCGCCAAAGACTAACAAAGAGTAGAAAACGAACTGGAGGTAAAAACAAATAGAAATTGCTAAGAAAAGAAGAGAAACCAAGGACAAAGATCTCTGGAAGAAACTTAACAAAACATTTCAGAGAGCTGCTAGAAGAGTCAAGAAGCAGTATTATGACATCTGTCACTGGACGTTGGAAATGGAACAGCAAGGAAAATCACCAATGGACAGATAGTGACTTCAAGAAGCGCAAATAAAATGGAAGGAATATACTGAAACTCTATACAGTAAAGGTGTCAATATCCAAAATACCATAGAAGATATTCCCTGTTTATAAGTACATACTAGAATATGAAGTTAGATCAGCATTCTGGTTATTACCAAGTTGGAAGGCTACAAGAATTGATAGAATAGTTACAGAAATATGGCAAGCAACAGAAGAATCAGTAAAGGTTCTAAGCAAACTATGCCAGCAAATATGGAGAATGACACAGTGCCCAACTGATTGGAAGAGGTCAATCTGCATATCAACACCAAAGAAAGAAGACCTAACAGAGTGTACAATACCTTTAATTTCACATGCTAGTAAAATAATGCTTAGGATCATCCAATGCAGATTAGAGTCCTACATAGAAAGGGAAATGCCACATGTTCCAGCTGGCTTTAGAAAAGGCCAAGGAACAAGACACAGTATTGATGATCCACGCTGGATAATTGAGAAAGCCAAAGAGTACCCAAAAGAAGTCAAAATGGGCTTCACTGACTAAAGAAAGGCCTTTGATTGTGTCAATCATGTCAAGCTGCAGAAGGTCCTTAGAAACCAGGAATCCCAGAACATCTTATGGTCCTCATGTGAAACCTATGCACAGGACAGAAAGCTGCAGCCCAGATGGACTTGACAAAACAGACTGGCTCCAGTGCGACAAGGCTATATACCCTCCCCTTATTTATGCTGAATATACTTTATGGGAAGCTGGACTGGAAGAAAGTGAGCACGGTTTTAAAATTAGAAGAAACTTCAATAACCTGTCCTATGCTGATGACAGCACAACACAAATTGCAATGAGAAGGATTTTTGATTAACTGAATTTCTACCAACACCATGGAAATAAATGTTTGGTTCCCCCTCCTTCCTTTCTCTTCATATGATTTTGTATCTAGAAAGCCGGCTGACATTTAATCAAAGTATTTTCTGGCTATGTTTATTTCCTCTGATTGCATCCATGGCAGGTAACCAACTTTCTACAATGGACAAGTTTGAAAGAAACCCTACCTCAAGTTATTCTTAAGAGTTGTTGAGTTGGGTAGTATAACAGTTTAAATCATCATCATCTATGGAAAAACTACAGGAGTTTCATGACTGAAAAATATTCCTTTGCACAGAACAATAAAAAAGCCCTTTTATTAACATCTCTACAAATATACAGCAGTAAGTGATGAAACACTTAAGATTTAAAACAGAGATCCAAAAAGCTATTTGTGTTACAAAGTTTAGAAACGATAAGCAGTATAAAAAAAGGAAATCATACTGGAGTTTCATACACAGGCTGGCTGTAGTTTCGGAGGCACATTGGTGAGGAAATGATTTTGAAGTTGTCCGTATCAGTGACCAAAATCCCTGGAAAACATCAGAACAAAAGACACACATATGTGTAGATATTCTTGAAATTAATGACTGATCATCCTCCTGGGACTTTTCATGTTGCAAGGATGGAAAATAGCAATTAGAAAGGTTAGCAATTTGTTTGAGGAAATCGAGACAGAACAAGTGAACAATGGCTTGGCTTTACTGTTTAGCTGAAATGATCTATGACTGAAAGCTTCAAACAGCAGGCTAAACATTAAAAGATACCCTTTTAATATTTCATGTTTTAAATGTAAACTAACAGGGATATGCCAAAGACAGGGCTGTCTTTATTCTGACTGTCCACAAATTGAGATGTAGTATAACAAAATCAATAATGAACTTACAAAGCTCTATGCAGGCATGAGCTATCTATATGTGCAAAAATCAAACTATTTCAGGTTATATGTATATGTATACATTTTTTTCAGTGCAATCTCACTGAAAACAATTTTTTGAAAATTAAAAGCATGACAGGCCTCATTAATTGACCTGATTGTTTCGCTTCTTCTGTGTTTTTGCCTTAAAACAATTTATTTTATCACATTATTTTTTCCTGAGTGTTTGGTCCAACTTGTTCATATTTTAAAAATATATGCAGGAGAACCTCATCAATAGGTCAGGGGATCCCCAATTTGGTGTTCTCTGGAAGTACTTGACTTTAAGCCCCATGTTTCATAGCTACCATCCATTTGGGGAAAACTACAACAGGTATTAATCAGCATAGCTGAATGGACTTTTCCTCTTATAGCTGTAGGATTCTGATATGCAGAAACATAAACCTAATTCTCAGAGCGAGAAACCTACTGCTTAGACCCTGGACTAAAGATTTTTTTTGTAATATGCAGGGAATATTTTCTTTGGAAGATTATGAATTTGGAAAGAAATACTGCCTAGGCAGAGATTTAACTTTTAATGAGCACAAGAAAAAAGAAACTATTGCCATTATGAAGCAGTATGTATAAAAACTGCATTATTTTTAAGAACAATAAAAATGGAATGCTTTTTCTCAAAAACCTAGACTGAACTGATACTGAATATTTTGGATATGAATATATTACATGTACAGATAATTGGTAAACCGAATCAATATCTCTACTTAAATGCATTAAAATAAAATGAAGAATCAATTTGTTAATTTCTGAAATACTAGTATCTACGTCCTGTGCATTGCACAGCCATTTCATTTTCATCTCATGGGGGAAAAAAGATCTTTCTAGACTGCTCAGTAACTGCCAGTTCTAATTAACTGACAGACTAAAATAGAAAATATTAACTTTGGAAAGAGGAAGGGCCAAAAAACTCCTCCTCAACATAATCTCCTGAAATATCATACCTAACCTTAACTTCTACCTATGTGAAATAATTCAGAAACATTTGTCTAGAACAAAGAAACAGATACAGCAGAAGACAGTGAGATGCAAGTCCTGGAGATAAGATAAGATTAGATAGATAGATAGATAGATAGATAGATAGATAGATAGATAGATAGACAGACAGACAGACAGACAGACAGACAGACAGACAGACATCGTTCAGTTGCAAATTAACAGTTAATTTGTCAAATCTCCACAAAATAATGAGAAATATACAAAATAGCACAAATGAAAAACAATGGCCCAATCTGAATCAGTGAATCCACTTTGCTTTTATCAATTGCTTACTCATGACAATGCAGTAGTTAAGTGAATTAATGAGAGTTTGAACATTTTGTACATGATTGATTGATCTGCTCTTTACATTCCAAGCCACATTTTAAATGTCTTGGTATTGTTTTGTTCCATGCAGATTTATTAAAGAATAATACATTTATTCATTATCTGATTCAAAGGAATATCTAACTGTAGTACTATTCTTTCTGCCTCAACAACTTCAAAAACTCAAGCAGAGACTGTTGTAGCACCAGCACTTAACTACCCTAGCAGTTTTACTTTCTGAGATTTTGTACTTTTCAAAACAACTTTTATTTCTGGAAATTTCTGGAACAGACTTTGGGTAAAAGCAATAAAATATTCTATGGTACTATTATGGGGGAAAAGTGCATCAGTTCACATAAAACGTGCATCACTTTATACCTTAAAAACACATGCCATTACGGGAATAGGCTTTTATGGGGGGGAAAAGCTATTGAAGAAGGAGCCATCACAGCACTATGGCATGGTTAAACACATACTATTTTCCAAATGGTGTAAGAATGGTGTCATCAAGTACCAAGTAAACAAGCGGCAGATCGAAATTGAAAAGACGTAAGGACTGGTGCTCAAGACTCTACATAACTGATCATATTGAAATATCATAAATGGATTCTTTACAGTAACTTTGGAAACAATGAGATAGAGAGTGGGTTTTTTAAATTTGTTTGCACAAATACTGGTCTATCTAAAAACATACCTTAAACTCCCTACACATGTGGTTGCCGAAAGCCAACTGTTACTTAGCAGAAAGAGTCAGCTGAATGGTTAGTTATAAGGCTATGTTTTCAGGTAGTTTTGTTCTTGAGCCATACATCACTTTCGCCCAAAGTGATTCCCTTCCAGATGTTTTGGACTAAACTCCCAGAACCCCTGACCAACATGGAGTCTCCAGATATCCAACAGTCAAATTGGGGAAGACTGACTTTAAATTTACTTCGGATTTCCCTGCAAGGCCATGATTTTATTTAAGGCACAGATAGGATGCAATTTCCCCCACACACATAAAACTCAAAATAAGGTATCAAACCAAAAAAAAAAAAAATCATCTTCCTGCATCTGAAGTTTTTAAAGAATATGATTTAAGCATTTGGGAAACACCTGCCAAATTCCAACACCCACACATCACCTGTCAGGAGGTGCCTTTTCCCCCAAAGGAGACAGAGAACGTGTCACAGAGTATCACGCAATGAAATGAGCACAGGGTTCTTTTCAAATATACATAGGCCTGATAACAGGTCACAAAAAGACAGAGTAGACAATTTGACCAGGGTATTAATACCATGGTATGTTTCCTGTTCAAACTGCACCTCAAAGCCACACGTTCATGTCAAAAGGGTGAAAGGATAACTCACCAATTGGGATGTCAACACAAATGACAGTCCAGGACTCACCCTGGGCTTTGGGTTTCCAAATCTACAACAGCCAGAGCCCGTTGCATTCTTTGGTTTTTCATCTACTCCACAAAATCACCTTCTACCACAAAAGTGTAACAGCATCTTGAAACAGAGCAGTTTTATAACTGTCAACAGTAACAAGCATCAACCATAGCTTGTGGGACACCATTAACGGTGCAGTTTGATACTCTTCAAGCAGGTAAAAGTTTGGCTATAAATCTCCTATTTCTTTCAAGATGGGTAGAAAAGTGCCAAACAGTCTGAAACACAGCTTAGTCATTTGAAACTAATTCTCTGGTACATTATTAATTAAAGCTTAAAATAAAAATAGATACCTACTGAAGTATGAAGAGAAACAGGTCTCTTTGGCCTCCATACACTCCATGTGACTCCTAACAAAAGAAGAAAATTACTTTTTTTTTTTACTAATTCAAGAACTCCACATTTCTAAAATCTAAAATAAATAAAATGAATGATAAACCATAATACCACAATTAAAAGACATCAAGCCAACAAAGAACAAGAAGTTTTAGGGGGCAAAACATTTGCAATGTTTTGAGTTCTTAGTTACATTATTTGTCCCATAAATTCTAGGATTACAAGTTACTAGTTATGATGTTTTACATTTGTTTAATCAGGAATAATTGGCTCCAATTAAACTGACCGAGCTAAGGCTTTTTAGGTACTAGAACAAATTAAACTTTTTAATATGAAATTTTAGGTGGTGATCTTAAAGCCTCTCTCTATAATCTAAAATAAAACTTGCTAATTGGTACTCTTCCCTGCTTTTATGGGTTATATTAAGATAAATTAAGTGAGATTAAAATCTTATTTGATTTATTTACCTTTGCAAATGAAGACCGTTTTAAGGGTTACACATCCTCTGCCTCTGACGAAAGCGACCGCAATTAGTCAAGTCAGAAAGTCTTTAAAAGCTTTGGGTTTATTGCTTCCAGCACGGAGTGAGGTTGTCATTAAGGTATCAAAACTCTCAGAAAACAACAACAACAAAAAAATTCCAAAGTTGCACTAGTGAAGAAACGCTCAACAAGATGAAAACTAAGTCACAGGTATTTTTGTTGTTCCTTTTTAAAATTTATCTGATTCAGAAATGCATTAGCTATTTTAAAACAAGAATATTTTTAAAAGGTGGATTCCAGCCGCTCAATACCATCTGGACACTTCCTTTAACAACTCTTTAAATCTATATTGTGTGTATAAATGGAAAATATATATATATATATATATATAGCTATAGAAAATATAATGCACCTTTAGGTTTTTACCATATTTTTTAAAAACAAAAATAGTTGTACAATATTTTAATAGGAACCATTTTATGTTGATCATTGTTAAAAATCACTCCCTCCCTGTTTACTACTATTTATTCAGGTTTTTAAATAAATAATGCATACTCTCACACACACTGAGTTTTCTTTCAAAAGTTTATTTAGTATCAAGCAAGAATAAACTTTGCTTAACACTACAGAACATTTCAAGACTCAAATTACAAAATACCACATTATTTGCATTTGTGATGTTTCCCTTTTTACGCATGTTTGCAAGAGAAAAACTAGCAAAATAGTTGAAAGATAAAACTAGAGAAGAACTTAATTGTTGAAAACCTTTAAAATAAAAGGTTACGCTTAGATTAAAATAATGGATTAACATGTTTAGTAAACCTAGCTGTTTTTAACACTAGTTAAAGGTTTTTTTTTTTTCCTTTTTGTATGTTTTGATCACCTATTTTTCTTTTTCTCTCTTTTTTTTTTTCCTTTTTCCCCCAAATACAATCTGGAAATAAACAAAGCTCATTTCACGTGTCTTCCTTCCTGTACAGGTTTTTCATTCAGCAAAAAATAGATTAAGCTCAGTCCGTCCATTCAGATTAAGCACTTTGATTTTAATAAAAAGGGATTGTTCATAGAAAAAAATTACTTTGAACAGTTTACAGGACTGGAGATTGGGCATTTCACAACATCGGACAGTATAATCAGTATCTTGCATATGGCTGCTCTCTGTAGGTTCCTTTTGTTGCCCTTGCTGAAGGAGCCTTGTGTCTTGAGTTGGTCCACTCTTCCTGTCCTGAAATCACAGAAAGCAAAAGGGGTCAGCCTTTTTCTACCAATCTGCAAGGAGAACATCTACTTCATTTTCAAGATGGAGGAGGGTGGGTGGAAAAGTCATCCAATATGAATGGTTCTCACGCTTCCTCGATACCTGTCCCCTTGCCCTCAGCACCCTAGAAACACAAATTACACCGAACGTCTGAACAAAAATTCAAGACTTAGCCCAGAATGAGGATGTGGACCTCAACCTGAAGTCTCCATTAGTAAAAGCTAGGCCCAAGCTTAATTCTTCAGTGACAGCCAAGCTCTAGGTCTCAGATTTGCACAGATGTTTCTCTTCCCTCTTAAGCAACAGTTAAAAGCTGCCTATTTCCCTGGTGCATTTGCACACCCAGCTTCACAGTTATTCCTTTCAAAATAACTTTGTGGCTGGAAGAAGAGATGCATTATATCAAACAAAAATTTTAGGGGATGCCGACAGTTGCTGAGTCGTATCTCCCTAATCGCACGGAAGAAGCACTGCCTGAGAAGTCATCCCTTCCCTCCTTCCCTTGGCAGGTAATGAGGAATAAAAAATTCCAGTCATCCAAAACATTTTTAAAAATTTAAGCGCATCGGCAATCGTTTGGTCTAGTGGTGAAGGCACCAGGCTAGAAAGCAGGAGACGGTGAGTCCTAGTCCTGCCTTAAGCATGGGAGCTGGGGGACATGGGGCCAGTCATTCTCTCTCACCCCAACTCACCTCACAGGGTTGTTGTTGGGAGGAAAATAGGAGAAGGAAGGAGTATTAAGTATGTTCGCTGCCTTGAATTACTTATAAAAATAGTAAAGGCAGGTTGAAAAAGAATAATGATTTTAAAAAATCCTTAGAAAAACTGAGAGGAACCATTTTTGCTCCTTGTCTAAAAGTGCAGCAGGGACAGGTGTCAGTGTATCCCTCTTGGGAGACTACTCACAGCTCCAAATGGCTCTCCTTTAACTACGTATTTGAGAGTGCAGGGATCCAGAGAACCAACCCGCTCAAAGATATGCATAATATGAATGCAGTGGGGGAATCTCGGCTCTTTTCTTTACACGATTACTTGCTACTTCCCCCTCCAGTCCCGGTGCATTAGGCGGGAGAAGAACAGGAGAACTAAGATGGTGTCAGCATGAGAAGTAAGAGAAGACGGCAATGGCTCGCTCCCTGCTTGCACCAAGCACGCTGCGAGATCAAGGCTAAAATGGCCCACTGCAAGGAGGCCAACAGGAGCCAGCTCCCTGCTGCCAGACAACTCGTGTTCATGCTGAAGCATGGGACAATCAAAGCTCTGAAGTCCATGGAGGCCAATTTAGCATGTTGCAAGGGGGAAAGGAGGAAGCTCCGGTGACTTCCCTTTTTCCAGCATCGTGTAATCAGCTCAATTAGCGAGTTAGAGTCATTTAAATCTGTGACATGGAGATAGCTTGCATGGTAGAATAATTTACTATATTACGAGAAACCCACGTTAAGAGTGTGGTCGCTTCAGGTGAGAAATGCTGTTTCACCCCCACACACATACTTAAAAAGAGCGCCAGAGAATCAGCAATTCAGTCTTGTCCCCCCCAAAGTCTAGCAATTAGTAGGAAAATTTTGAGTCACTCCCTCTGACAACAGGCAAAATGCAGCGTGCGTGTCTGTGAGTGTGACCGTCTTCATGCGGGTGAGTGTCAGACCTGACTGAAATGTTGGTCCCTGATATTCAGCCACAATTTTAACTTTTTACCCCTTTGCCAATAGCACCTCTGGACATCCTTTAAACGGTACTTCTAATCTATTACAACTTTCAGCTTTGCACTCCAGCCCTTGCTTTCGTTTCAACTGACCCCCGCGACCAGCACGCCGTTTCTGCTTCTCTTCACCAATGAGCATCCTACACCCCCTGCCTATTGAAAGCACTGTTTGGGACCTCTGCAGAATAACAGTCTGCTCGAATGTGTTCCCGTGGCCCAGAAAAGCCAATCTGAAGTGCTGAAAAAAAGCCTGCCAGCCATCTTGGAAATGTTCAAAGGTAGCCTTTGATTCAGAAAAGGACCTGGATTCAGAATGAGGTCATGAGCGCTTCTGCAGATCCCACCAGCCGCCCGGGTCAAAGGGAGGCTAAGGGGCAGCCTGGCATACTGGGAGCTGTGAGGGGGTTCCCATGGGGCTTCTCAAAGGAACTGGCAGTGTGCATTTTCTAACAGCCTGGCCAATTCCTTCCAATTTAGCCCTGTTCTCCTCCTGCCGCTGTTCCTGCCTGTTCTCTCCCTGCACAGATAACGGGATGCCAATATTCCCTGCTCTGTTGAGCCTAGGTCTCCCATGGGTGCCCTTTCATTTTCCCTTTTCCTATCTAAATATTGGAAATGCCGTTCTGTCTTCTCCACACTTTCACTTCTTTTTGTTCCTCTCCTCGGTCAAAATTTAGACTGTAGATTCTTTTTCTTTTTCTCTTGTTTTACGTATGTTACATTGGATATTATTTATTATTTTATGCAACAAAAGCTACGGCTTTATATTTTGCTGCAGACTTGTAGGGTTTTTTAAAAAAAATTTGTCTGCCTAGTCTACACCGCCAGGATCTCCTGGTGGTCTCCCATCCAAATGCTAACTAGGTCTGACTTTGCTTTTCAAGATCAGCGAATGGTTGGCTGGATCCTACCGCTTGGCTGGGTGGAGAATGTCAAAATAATCATAAGAATCAGAGGGACCACCAGCAGCAGCAACAAAAGAAAGGTTTATTTCTGAGCTTGAATGAGCTTTTGCTGGGTCTGTTTTCAGAGATTCCAATTGTGTCCATACTGCTCACAAAATGAAGCATCACAACAACATGGATTTGGGGGGCGGGGGGAGTTGTAGAAGAAGAAGCAGCTTCTGACTGTGCTGAAGTTTGGTGGAAGATGAAATGAAGAACAGCTTGTGCGTCCCATTCATCTACGCATATGTGTAAAAAAGGGCCACACTTAAAATAGATGTTCTAATTAACGAGACACCCAATTTACCATACGCTTGCCTGCCTCAAGTGGCCTTTGAGTTCTAGAGCAGTGTTTCTCAACCTCAGCAATGTCAAGCTGCGTGGACCTGGACTCCCAGAATTCCCCAGCTGGGGAATTCTGGGAGTCGAAGTCCACGCAGCTTGACGTTGCTGAAGTTGAGAAACACTGCTGTACACTAAGCACGGGTGAAATGGGACCCACTCCATCCAATCTAGTGGAACGGGCAGAAAGCCTGACCCAATTTGCTTTCACCGCCAGCCATTTGGGTAGCCCCCCCTCGCCCCCCCGTCCCAGTGAAATGTTAAGTTTAACTTCCCAATCACTCCAATTTGGGGACGGACCCCAGAATCTCCTGCTATATAAAGCAGCAAATTAAAAGAATCACAGAGCAGGACCTTACTGGCACCTCCAACCCCAGCTCAGTGCAGGAGTTTGAAGCCCAGCCATGCTGAATTGTGACGGTTCAGCCTCTACAATAAATACAGACGATAAAAATAAGTTCCCCACCTTTCTGTGTCACTGGTTCCGCCGGTGAACTCCTCTTACTGTCAGAAATGAACATTGCTAACATTCACTCAGAATCTGCCTTCCTGTAATTTCAAACCCTCCTCTGTACCGCACGCCGGAACGAGAGAGAACATGTTTTGAATAATTTTACCTCCGTGCCGTCTTGCCTCCATGCATAATTAATTTCCATTTTCAATAATAATGACAACATGGAGCATTATTACTTTGGGAAATATACGAGAGCCATCACCTCTTTCTCTACATAAAAGTTGATTCCAGAGCATTAAAGGTACTCACTGTAAGAATCGTATGTCTCGTCGTTCAAGCCATGGGCATAGTCATAGTAATCGCCACCACTGTTTGGAAGGAGAAGAAAAAAAATATATATATACACACACACACACACACATACACGGTTACAAGATAGAACTAAGCTGAACCTACTTAGCAGCTACGTTTTTGCAGGTCTTTCAAAAGCAGCAAGAAGACATTAGTGGGCATTCCATACTGGCACAATGAACTACATACATCCCTCAGTCAGGTGGTCCTAGATACATACCCTTCGAATGTACACCATGGTGTATTGGCAGACCTGATGGAAGCCTGAACCTGCAGTCCCCCAGATGTTCCTCAACAGCAGCTCCCAAAGCTTCGTCAGCAATTTTCCCTCCCTGTTGGCCATGCTGATGAAGCTTTGGGAGTTGCTGTTGAGGAACACCGATTCTTGGAATTTATTTATTATTTAAGACTGCTTTTGTATTGTATTTGGATTGATAAAGGA